GTGGCTCCCCTTGTATCTCACCTCACATCCACAGCCTCTGTTGCATTGATCTGAAGACTAGCCATCATGTTCGGCTTCATCGCCGATGGCCTGACGTACGTTGTACCCCGCCCCCCGCCTCTCAATGTTCAAGCAAACCTAGTCGGACACGGCTTATCGTGAATTTGGCCGCCCAAAGTGTGTAGCATGCGAGCCATTACTCAATACAGGCTCTTAAACTTATGGTTTTCTTTCCAAAGACAACAGTGCACTGTATGAGTTCTTTCACTAACAATTCACCAGTGTTGTCACTACAGTCTTCTTTCCCATCTTCGCGTCATACAAAGCCCTTCACACATCCGACCCAGCCCTCCTAGCACCGTGGCTTATCTACTTTGTCGTTTTATCCGCCTGCACAGCCGTTGAGAACACATTCGACTTCATCCTGAGTTGGGTACCATTCTACTCATGGATCCGCTTCTTCGCACATCTATATCTTATCCTGCCGGGTGCTCAGGGTGCAAGTTACATCTACCAGGAACACTTGGAGCCGTTCTTGTACCACCACGAGAAAGAGATTGATGACTTTATAACCCAGAGCCATGACCGTGCAAAATCGGCAGGTATGGCCTATATCGAGATGGGCATCGAGTGGGTGAGAGTCAATCTGCTAGGTTTCGCACCTCGCAAACCAGAGGCGCCCCCGCCAGCTGGACAGACATATGCACAGAGCCTTATGAGCAGGTTTCAGATGCCCGCAGCAAGGGGCAGCAACGACCTATACGGTCTCGTGAACCAGGCACTTAGCGGAGCGAGTGCACTGTATACTGCTGGCACTGCCGAAACAAGGGATGCCCAGGCCTCCGACCTGAGCCGTGGTGCAGCAAAACTTGTTCCAGACTCGATCCGTAACAACGAAGACCGACTCAACTACGTGGCATCGCAGCGCCAGCGCCTCGAAAGCCTCCTGCAAGCGTTTGACCGTGAGCAAGAAAATATCCGCACCCAGCAAAAGGGCGGAAGCACACACTATGAATCCAGCAGGAGCAGCGGTAGTCTGTCCCGCAACAGGAGCGAAGCAGAGTTTGACAGAATCGAGCGCGATGAGCTGAGCTCTGGATCAGACCGGCCGCCATATCCCATCACACCACCTGCCCTAGGTCGGAGGACAAGCAGTGGATGGATGCCATGGAACTGGCAGCGTCAGGAAGCATCTCAAGACGATCCTCTGGCATACGGACGAGACCCCGGTGAGCTGAGAAACAGGTCACGAGGATCCGGGTTTGACTTGGGAGACCATTAGCAGAGGTCCCCAAGACAATCAAGATCCGTGGTATAAACGTACATGTTTTCTGGCGTTTTGATGGCAACAAAAAAAGTAGATGATGGTATTACAACTGAAAAACCTCACGACTGTATCATAAAAGCCGTGTGTCTACTTCCCCTAGCCAAAACTCGATAGACATGAGTGGTATTGCTACAAACCGAGGTACAATATGCATATATCCCCAGGGCGGAAACGCTCAACGCCCTGCCCCATAAAATGCGTGATTCATGACTCTCTATAACTTGACCTCCTTGAACGGATACTTTGGGCTATCGTCTTTCCTCAGCACAATCTTGCGCTTCTTCTTCGTGGTCGCGTGCTCGACCCACACCTCTTTTGTCATCTTACTCGTAAACTCCCTGATAAATCGGGGGTCCCAGAGTTCAGAGGCGATACCCAGGTCCTTGCAGCACCGCATCAGGGCATTCGATTTGCACCCCTCGGTCGCGGTAGGGATGCCATCCGGGTCGAAATATTGTTGCTCGCCGCGGGCAATGGATACAAGGCTATAAAAAACCAATCGTCAGTATGGCTCTTTTACACGAGTGAAGAAAAAAACCTGGGGAGAGGGGGGGATAATATGTACACATACCGTCCTTGTACTATTAATCCGTACTCCCTCGTCACCAACTTCCCAGTCACTATGCTCTCGCCTCTTGGCGCGAGACCCCAGCCACCAGGCCCAAACGCCTTGTTCAAAATACGTCTGTATTTGATTTCGGGGAGGTACAAGATACCGTCTGGCTTGACTTCGACGTCATCCTGTGTGACGGGGGCGAGCAGGGCTTCAGACTGCTCCGGCGTAAACGAGACGCTGCCGAGGCCGTGGTACGAGCGCGTCCAGTCTATGGCGGGTACGCCTTCGAGCTCTGGAGGCGCATCGGAGAGGCCCTCGGTGAGCGAACGTTGCGATTGGGCGGCGGCGGCGGCAGAATCTGCAGTGGCGTTACGAGTGGTGGGAACTGGGGGTTCTTTTGCGGGAAATTGCGGTGTGACAGTTCGCTGGGGGGTTGTTGTTGTGCTTGAGGAAGCGGGTTTCGCTGCTGTGGAAGAGGTGGTGCTTGTTGTTGCTGCTCTGGGTGGGGTGGCATTGTATGCGGCGTTGATGCGCGAAGAAGACAATGTGCGGGTTTGTAACCTGTACGCCAATGGCGTTGTTTTCGAAGAGGAGACCTTGAATAAGGCTGATATGCCTCTTTGTGTCGGTCTCGCTGCCATGGTTTGCATGTTTATTTTTTTGGTGGGTTGAAATTGGGAGCGTCCAAGACAGTCAGGGAACGTCGCTAACGCGAAGTCACGATCTGACGTGTGCACGGACCTTTTATAACGGCTGGGTGTAGTATGGTTGACAAGCTGACATCATCTTATGCACCATTCGGTCGCTCAAACCCATGAATTAACATATGACAGGATTGCTCTTAATCGCTACTACTAGCATGCGGTACAACTAGGAGACTCGCACAGCTTACTCCTTTAGGAAAACTGGGCGTGTGTGCGATTGGTGCACTGACAAGCCACACAATTGACACTGCCCATGTCCATAAGGCGACCATGGAACGCATCTGCTGATTGGCCGCGGGCTGAGGCCGTGCCATTCCATGTTGTTTACAGATCGGCCAACGGAACCTTATATGTACCGTTGGTAACCAGTATAAAGAACGTTTGCTTCAGGCCACAGGACCTGCATCCTACTTGGCGGGCTGCTATCTCTTCTCTCCCTTTGCCGCAATACGACGCCTCTGCCAACGCCACTAAGCTCCTTCAAGATGGCCTCCTTCATGGGCCTCTTTGGCGCTTTGGTCGCTTTGGTGAGCATATCCTCAACTAAAGCAACTTGCTCAAAGTTGTTTAAGACTGCCACGCTAACTGATGACAGACTGTATTTCGCTTTATTGCAGTAGCCGTGTATCGGATTTATTTCCATCCCTTGAGTAAATACCCGGGCCCCAAACTGTTGGCCGCGACACGCATTCCAGTCCACATTGCCGTTGCAAGCGGCTCTCGTGACAAGCTTTATCAAGATCTGCACCGTGAATACGGGCCAATAGTTCGAGTTGCTCATAATGAACTAAGTTTCATTGATGCTGGTGCATGGAAAGATGTGAGTAAATTCTTGATTTACTTTCTATGCGGCGTTCACTGACGGCCTTCTAGATCCACGGCCATGGTACAAAAGGAACAGCAGGCTCTTTGCCTCACAAAGACCCGGTGAGATACCCGGAGAGTCTCAACGGGGCACCCAATCTCATCAACTCACCGAATGACGTTCATACTCGCCAAAGAAAGATCTTTAGTTCAGCCTTCTCGGATCGCGCTCTAAAACAGCAAGAACCTCTCTTCCTCAAGTACATCAACCAACTTGTAAGCGTGTTAAAAAAAGGCATAAAAGAAAATCCAGAGACAAAATTCGATCTTGTCCGGCTCTTCAACTTTACCACATTCGATGTTATGGGCGATTTGACGTTTGGCGAGCCCCTGCATATGCTCGACAACGCCGAATACGATCCGTGGGTCAGTAACATTTTTGGGGCCCTCAAAATGTCAAGCCTCATATCCCTCATTCGGTTCTACCCATTGCTCTGGAAATTCTTCAAAATGATCCAACCGACCTCCATCTCCAAGAAAAGTAAAAACCATTTCAATCACTCCAGCACACGTGTCACGAAACGCCTCGAAAAAGGCCGCGATAGCCAAGGCGTCGATCTCTGGGACTTGGTACTGAGCCAAAAGGAAGGCAAGGGTCTAACACGACCAGAAATGGACTCAAACGCGTCCGTCTTTATGATTGCAGGCACGGAAACTACAGCAACCCTCTTATCAGGCCTGACGTACCTGCTCCTCCGCAACCCAGAATGCATGGCAAAACTCACTCGGGAGATACGCAACGAATTCGAGAGCACAGACGACATGACCATGGAACGTCTCGCCGCTTTGCCCTATTTCGCTGCTTGCATCAAAGAAGCTTTTCGTATATACCCGCCAGTTCCTCTCATGTTGCCTCGTCGCACACCGGCAGATGGAACCACTGTCTGTGGCAAATTTGTGCCCCCTAATACCACTGTGGGCATTCCACAACATGCCATGTACATGAGTGAGCGGAACTTCAAGCGCCCGACGGAGTTTCTGCCCCAACGTTGGCTGGGTGACCCCGAGTTTGACAGCGATAAGAAGGCCTGTCTTCAGCCTTTTTCCATCGGGTCGAGGGACTGTCTTGGAAAGAAGTAAGCGCTTTTTTTCATCTTGGCTACATGTCAAATATCTTCTTGTTCTCTTTCGGGAAATAAGGAGACTGTGCTAACGTGTGTGTGACTATAGTATGGCGTACCATGAGATCCGGCTCATTGCTGCAAAAACTTACTATCACTTTGACATCGAGCTTTGTGATGAGACTGGGAACTGGTTGGATCAGCCGACATTCCTTTTGTGGGAGAAGTCACCGCTTTTGTGCAAGTTGAGGTCCGTGAGGTGAGCTTGTGGAATACCAACAACAAGATGGTTTTTTCTTCACTGTCGGAATTGAGCGTGTTATTTGTTATGCAATCTCTTGTAGATTCATTTTAACTTGGGGAGAGAACACATAATTTCACGGAGAATGACATTTCATCTAAAAGATACTAGACCCCCCCCCCCTCCCTCCCCTGCACACGTCTTTTTTCTTCCTCTCCTTCCTCCCTTCCGCCAGCTCCTCCCGATTCTACTTCTTCTTCTCCACAATCCCCACATCCTCCACCCTCAACAACCCCGACCCCATACCCGCAACCGCCCATGTCCCATATCTCAAATTCGGATTCCACGCCAGAGCCGTAACCGCGGACCTCTCCTCAAAAATACTAATCGACCGCCCAATCTCTGGGTTCCCTTTCCTCTTCGACACTGCGCTACTCGCAATACCCTGTTGCACCGCCTTGTAACCCTCTGACACGCGTACAAGAGGCTGTTTGAGAATGTCTTCTGGCACCACCACTGCCGGCGTCGCCATACTAGTATTGTCTTCTTCTTCTTCTTTTTCTCCTTCCCCAGATCGTTCTTTGGGAGTGTTGGCCGTAGTGACAGGTTTGGCCGTTGACTTTGTGACTTCGCCTCTCCACTCATGCACAAACCATTTCTGCTGCCACGGCACAACCTTGTAATTCGCAATCCGCATCACGGGATTACTTGTCTGCACGTCGCCGTCGGTGCCGCCGACCAGGACGCCTGGGTGCACCGGGCTCGTAGCCACGCGCGTAATGCTATTGTCCAGTCGCATGCTGTACAGATTATGGTAGTAACGGCGGAGCGGAGTGTGCCGCAGGATGTAGTGTTCGTCGGGCATGACGAAGGACTGTGTATGCTCGTGCCAGGCTTGCGTGAGGCATAGCGTGCGGCCGCGGATGGAGGCCGTGGTGTCGGCGGTGGGGCTGCGTAGGTCGAAGAGGCGGGCGAAGCCGTCGGCGGTGCTGATGGAGAGGTATTGGGGATTTGAGGGCCAGGCGGAGGAAATGGTTAGGATGAAGGTGTCGGCTAGTTGGTGGTAGAACCAGGGACGCGGGTTGTGCGGTTGGGTGGTTGGTGAGAGGGTGCCTGGGCGGGTTAGGGTCCAGATGGCTACGGTGCCGGCGGCTGTGGCAACGGCCAGGGTGGTTCCTGAGAGCCATTGCAGACAGGAGGGGATGGTTTGAGGGATTGAGATTTCGAAGGCTGTGCGAGAGAAGTGGAGGTATGTGGGTTGGGCTTCTCCGGCTTGACGCTTCGGGGCGCATAGGTCTAGGATGCGGACTCGTCCGTCTGACCAGATGACTGCCAGCATGCCGATGTGCGTTTCGTTTTTATCATCAGAATCTCCTTTTGTGTCTGTAGTAGCGACTGGACACCATCGAAGCTGTTTAGGTGCACCCCAGTTGGCGCAGATGACAAGTTCAAGTCTAGGCTCTTTTGAAGTATCCAGTTCTCCGTCTTCGGTAGCTTCGAATGCCCAGATCTGAATGGAGGCTGGAAACTGCTCCGTAGCACTAAAAGCAGGCGCTTTTGGTATCTCCATTGGTTTGGGTCGGTTTCCATCCATGGGCTGCTGTTCGACAGCGACAGCGACATATTGGGTTCGACTATCTTCCTTGGTGACCCATTGAGCGTCTTGTATCCTGGATCCAAAGTTGAACAGCCAGCCTCTTCTACTATCCCTGTCTGGAAAGGACTGTCCAACATGCATATAAGTGCCTTTTCTAAGAGCGGTAACCTGGGGGCTATCGACAGGTCCAGTGAGTACATTCAGACTCTCTGGTCCGTCATTCTGCATGTACTCGTTAGCTTCACCCTCTGACAACTCCCTGGTAGCCTGTATAGCCTCAAAAACTGTCTTTCCCGTATGCCTATACCACTGCTTCAGCACCTCATTTTCTTTCTCTCTGGTACCCTCCTTTTCAAAGAAACTTCGCCTCAAGCCCCCCAACTCAGGCTGACTAGAGTCAACTCGTCCAGGCTTTTTAATTGGAAATGTCTCCTGAGAACCCCAGTAATCGCGAGAGGCCAGCACGGGTCGAAGATGCTGGCCATCCGGCCCGAACAAGTTTTTCAATCGCGGCTCATGACCTCCAATCTTGTCGAAATCAGGCACGCCGCGTGTTCGCAGTTTGTTCTCGACATCTACATTGCGCACTTTGATACCACTGCCTTTGGCAAACGTGATAGGCGAAGGCACATGTTCTGTAGACGGCTTGTTGCGCTGGACAAGTGGCGTGGTGGGCGGCTTGACGGGCGTAGCTTTTGGCCCGCGAGCACCGCGTTTGGGCGTCACGAGGCTATCGTCTGAATCTTCCTCATCTTCTTCTGCATCATCATCTTCGTCGCCCTCCTCTTCTTCATCCTCAAAGTCGTCTTCCGCTTCCTCTTCCTGAGCGTCCGGCATAAAGTCGTCTTCGTCTTCTTCATCGTCATCCTGGAAGGCTGGCGATTGGTTACCAGATGCTGCGGATCCATTTTCTTCGTCAAGAAATGAGTATTCGTCCTCAACGCGATACGATTTACGTTGCTTCCCACGTGATTGTCGGGGTGACGAGAAATCTAGTTATTGGAAATTAGCATTGTCAAGTGATTTGCAAGTCGCGTGGGCAAGTGCAGCATTGGGTTGTATGTTTTATCTATGCAGAGAAAAATTGAGCAAACATGTGCGCTTGCCGGCTTTCGCAACAATGTCGACTAGGCGAATTCTGAGAAGGTTGTTTATGGCATCTCCAGCGATATCAAAAAAACTCAGACCTACCTGCGGGCATGTTGAGTTACGTGCTGTGTGTCGACCGATTGGGTAAAGGAAGAATATACCGAACACCAGCAAAAACGCTGCCCCACCTCTGGCGATCGGCACAGACCTCGCGACCCCGCACACCCGCTCAAAATTCCTTCGCCCTCACAGCAGTCTGCAATAAAACTTTTTCTGAACTCGAAGGCGTCTTTTCATGTGATGTTGCCAAGTACCATTATCGGCCAACTGCGATTTTTGTCATCAAAGAAATACCACGGTGGTATGGTCTAGTGGTATGACGTCGCGTTGTGGCTGGCGGACACTCAGTTGTCCCGATCCAGATCCGCGCCAGCCTGGGTTCGAGTACGTTCAACCTCACAAATTGGTGGTCCTGAGACATTTCTAACGTGTCTACAGTTCCCAGTACCGCCAAGTAATTTGCGACTTCTTTTTTGCACTTTGTTTCCGCATAGAAGCTGTGCGGCCTCTTACTTTTGCTTGGGGTTGTTGCATGGTGGGGGTTTGTGGGCACCCATCATCGCTCGCCTTTTATCCTAAGCTGACCTTATTGAATGCTTCGCTCTTTAATCGTCTATAGTCTCCCATTATTCGATTAGCCAATTGATTACAATTTTGCCAGCCTTCTCTTTGCAAGTTGCTTCATTCTGTTTGTTTTTGACCTATGAGCACAACGTTGTCGGAATTTACATTTAGTAGAGGCCCATCAAAAGATATGGCGATCTGATCACACTCGTACTGCCAGTGATGGCAGCTTCAACGATATGTACCCGAAATGAATTGGTCAAGTCCTAGCCAAACATCCTGCCAAGCAAACAACATGATACATTCGTCAGTCAGTCCAACTTTACGCACATTGAAATTTCCAAAAAAGCCGTTTATGTATTGCGTATGCATACGACCCTGTAAAACCGGGTATCTAGAACAGAAGATAGAGAACAGAAACAGAATTCGAGTGATACCAATACATCCCTCCCTCCGTACGCCCACAGTTTGAAAGAAAGAATAACAGGTACGGACGTGCACTACTATCCGACAGGTAATAGTACAGTGATACACTAGTGAGAAAATAAACCAAGAAAGTTGACCCAAACCCACATCACAGTGATTCAGACCACCAAAAGATAATCTTTACCCTCTAATCCACATCCATCTGATCCTCATCCCTCGCCCTCGCCGGCCTCGGAGCAGTGACATGAATAGTATCACTCTCCATCGTCTCATCATCATCCGGTTCGTCATCGCCGCGTTCAGACTCGATGCGCTTATCCACAGAAGCCATCTTTGCTGCTGCTGCTGCAGCCAAGTGAGGGAAAAGAGGTTTGTTCAAGGCAGCAATGGAGGCGGAGCGACGTAAATTATCGTTTTGAACTTCTTGGTGGATTTCCTCGACTTCATCTTCGTCGAGTTCGCTAAGCTCGCTTTCGTCGTCGGCGTCGTCGTGGACGGAGGCGGGGGCGCTGGGGGCGGGTTCGTCGTTGTTTACGCTTGGGGCGGCGGTGGCGGTTTCGCTTTGGTCGAAGGAGGGTTGGAGATTTTCGGCAGACGTGTTCGGTTCAGCGGTAGGTTCAGCGGTCTTGTCTGATGATACTGCTGCTTGATCGGTGGCGGTAGAGGGAACCTCGTTGGCAGGCGGAGGCGATCGAATTGGGATCGAGGTAGATTGAGCGGAGGCAGCAGCAGTCTTCTGGACGCATGCTTCAGCTCTTCTTGCAATTTCCCTGCGACCGACTGCCTTGACTCTGGGCTTTGCTGGTTGTTCAGGTTGTGCCACCATCTGAGGCATCTGAGTGGTGTGCTGAGATGGTATTTGACCGGAATGATACATGCTGAAAGGTGACGCAGTGTTTCCTTCTGCTGACCCGTCGATCTGAACTTGCATCAAGGATGAGATGGGTACAGCGCCTGTAGATGTTACAGACCCTGCAAAAGGTGTTGGTCGAGGTTGAGCAAGCAGAGCTTGTTGTTGTTGCTGCTGTTGCTGCTGCTGTTGTTGTTCTTGCTCAGATGGGAGGGGTGACAAAGTGGGACCAATCGATGTATACAACATCGCATAAGTATCTCCAATGAGATCATCAATAAGAAGAGGCTTCATCATGCCGTTGTTGAGGCGTTTAAGTTCGATCGCGTCGCGGAGAATATCCAGTACAGGGTGTTGCGTAGCTGAGTTTTGACACCACGCCTCCAAACGGAGAGCCAGCATGTTGAACTCATCATGGTTGACGGATTTGAAAGCTGAATCTTCTTGGCCTTCAGGTATTCTGCCAATTCTTCGTAGCAACTTGAGGTAACGCGTGCATAGATCTTGCCACAGCTTCTGATGTTCGAAAAAGTCCGTCTGTTTCCGCCTTACACGCTTCGCAAGCGCTTCGAAATTGGTCTTGTCCTCAGTCAAGTCCAGGAGTTCGATGAAAAACTTGGTGTAGCGAGTAGTGTATACAAAGTGTCTGCCAGGTCGCTCGTTCTCGGGTTTCCAGACCTGAACAGCCATGGTTTTAGTAAACATCTGCTGCATAAGTTCATGCTTAGCATCCTGAGCCACAGAGGGGTTTTTCTCGTTATCGTAGATAGTGTGAGCAACGCGTGATATGACACGGTGGTGCCAGCTTGACTTGTCTGCTGCACGCAAGGACTTCAAGATAGCAAGAATGTATCTCTGCCAGTCATCTTCGTTTTCTGGAGCCTTGATGTTCTGGGCATACGATGTATTCGAAAGAATTTCTACTCCCTTTTCGTAGTCGATGGCACCACGTTGGAAAAGTTTATGAGTGACCGATACTAGTTTATAGTGAGGCTCGAGAACTGGCTCGCCGCTGCGCCCTTTCTTTCCGGGTAGTGTCTCGATGGCACTAGTAAAGGCCTCAATGACCGACTCCCAACTTGGGCCATGCTGTGGAGCAACATGTGCGCCAACGGACATGGCATACCGCATGGCGCTTTCGTTAGTAGACCACATCTTCCATCCACACTTTCCAAGCATGTAGTGATTCCACCATTTGTTTGGATTGCCTTTGATTGCTCGTTTGTAAAGTGTGCTTACAAATTTCCAGGCTGTGTAGGTCTGTAATGGGGCAAATGCGACCTCTTTGTACAGAGTTGCATTCGTCTGGAGATTGCAGAACCGCTTCTCAGTTTCTCGAATCTGGAACGCCTCCATTCTAAAAGGCTCCCTGGAAGATGCGTATATACGGTTGCCAAACTCGGTATACATCTGTGCAATCTTGGCCTGGGTATTTGGTCCTACATTAGGATCGCGCACAGCACAGGCTACCGCCATGATGTAGCAGTTGATTGCAGCTCGCTGGAAGTTGACGATATCGGCGCTGTTGCTGTTCATTTTATCCGCGTTCCATGAGACCGCCTCCTCAAGCTGCGTGTCATTGGCCTGCGCAAGGCGATACCACGTCTCCCAACGCTCAATGGAGTGCTCTAAATCCTGCACAAAGAACGCTTGAGCATAGTTCAAGTCCTCTGTAGGTCCCTGGGTCATGCGCTTTTGTGACTTGAACTTGCTGAGTGCAATGTTGCCCATCATGTAATACCAACCTTTCGATGCAGCCACGGCATCTTCGGCAGGGACATGCTTGGTTGCAAGCGAGCCAACACCTTTCAAGCATCCGAACAACTCGACAGGGTTGACAGGTGACTTGAAGTACGATGAGATTACTTTACGGTTGAAAGTGATATCATCGTTCTGCTTGGGCCTACCTAACGCGGTATGTATCTTTTCGATAGTTCCCTTGAGTTCTGTCTTGGGCAAATCTTTCAGGTCAACTTTAGCAACTTGCGACATAGCGAATGACAAAATGCTGAAGGCAGTCTTTTTGTCGAGGGCATCTGGTGTGGTCTGGAAATCCTGGCACTCCAAAGGTTCGATGAATAGCTTCAGGCCATAAAGATCGTGAAGAACCTGGCAGAGCTCGGTGGCATAACTGTGGCCATCAACAATATCGTCAATGCGCAGCAACTCATCCTTTGCAAGCCTCAAAAACTGACGGTTCGACAGATGGCAGAAGCCACGCACACCAGTAGCGTGGTGCACATGCCGGATGTATTCGAATAGATCCTCGGAAGGAGTAGGGAAGCTTTCGTGGTCTTGAGATAAGCCATCCTTGAGCAAGTGATACTGTAATATCCAGAGCCGCAGATGGATGTCACCAAGTCGTGCCATCATATTGACGAATGCTTGGCTCGGATGGGATTCGACTCGAGGCATAGGGATATGGTTGATGCGAATGTAATCTCTGAGCATGTCTGCAGCCGACATGATGTGTAGCAGTTTAGCAATTGCTGACATAGAAGATTGCACATGCTCGTAGTAAATACAGTCAAAAGGCGTTCCATCGTCGCGTATTATCTGAAGGATCTTGACAACCATGTCATCAATAACTCGGTATCGGGTTAATAACTTATTTTGGCGATCAGGCGTTGGTAATTCCTGAAAAGCTGAAGATCCAAGATCATCCACAAGGGCTTCGATACTTCGTAAGAAGCACGATATAACTTTGGAAGGATAGTCGATGGCTTCATAGGCTACGCGTAACCTGTTCCAGAGAGACAGTCGTACGTTTACGTTTGCAGAATCGAGAAACTTGCGCATCTCCAGAATCGGAGACGCATGGCTAAGCTGTTTATCTGGGGATGAGCCTTCGATACTTCCAGTGGGCGAACTTTGTGCATCAGGTGCTCTTTGATCAGAGCCAGCTGACTCAACCGGTATGTTTGATTCCCTTGTGTTTTCAAATTCCAAAATTGGCTCCAGACTTTCTATTACTGTCACTGGATCTTGCTCGTCTTGATCGAAA